TCAGCCTCTCGGCCTGCCCCGGGCGCCCGCCCACGCTGCACATCGTGCCCTGCTCCGACTACGTCTGCTGCCACATCTCCATGGCCGTGCGCCTCATCCCTGCCATCCCCCTCGGCGACGCGCTCTACCTCACGGCCCTGCCGCCCGAGGGCCCGCAGGGCCCCCCGGCCCCCGAGGCCCTCTGGGGCCTCAACGCCTCGCGGCAGGAGCAGCGGCTGCTGAGCTGGCTGAAGGAGCAGGCCCCGGCCTCCTCCTGCCACCTCAAGTGCCTGCAGATCCTCAAGGGCCTGCGGGACCTCCGCGGGCAGGGCCTGGAGGAGCCCTTCTGCTCCCAGTGGGGCCGGGTGCTCTCCTCCTACGTGCTCAAGACGGCCCTCTTCTCTCTGCTGCTGCGGGGGCCCTTGGAGGCCTGGGACGAGCGGTTCCTGGTGGAGCGGCTGGAGGACCTGGTGCTGTACCTCAGGGACTGCCTGCGCAAGCAGGTGCTGATGCATTTCTTCCTGGGCAACGCCAGCCTGCCGGAGGCCGTGGCGCTGCCCCGCTTCCTCAAGGAAGCCGCCCCCGTGAACTTGCTGGCCGCCTTTGACGGGCCCACGCTGGACCTGGCCGCCTTCCAGCTGATCAACACCTGGATCCAGGCCCCACACCTCATCAGGATGTACAGCAGCCCCCGGTACTTGCGACCGGTGCCCGCCCCATGCCGGCACATCGCCGAGGCCAGGCAGGAGCCGCCGGGAGAGTGAGCCGGTGGCCGGGGGAGCCGGCGTCGCCCGCGGACCCTGCCGGGGCAGCGCGCGCTCCCAGCCCGCTGGTCCGTCGAGAGCCCGCGTCTGCTGAGGAAGGTGGGACCCTTTTAAATGTGGTTCTGTGCCTTTGTCCCTGACCTGAGAAAACTAGGAAACCAGAGGCCAGGACTTAAAGAAATTGTGATTCTTGGGTTTTTTTAATCTCCTTGGTTGCTCGTGGGAAAATTGTGAAATTGCTGAGGAAGTGCTTTAGTCGAGAAGCGTTACGTTCAGTCGACTGTTTGCAAACCTGACTTTAACAGCCTCAAAATGACATTTCTGGAAATCCGCGTTAACTTGTTGTCTTAGTGGCAAAATTGACCTTTTTCTGAGATTTGCTTTTTATGATGCAAAATCCATTTGGGATTTAAAAATCCTGTAAGTGCAAACAACACTCTGCTCCCCCTGACTCCCCCCCACAATGCACCAAGATGCTCTTAAAACGTGATGAGCACTAGAGCGTGGGTGTTGGATCACAGTTTGAAATGCTCAATGACATGCTTTAAATTTCCTGTGTAATCGAATACGTTGTGCTGGATAGAAATATAATGCGTATGTTAATGTAAAATTGAGGGAAGAAGCGAAACCTCTCCGATAACAATATGAAGAATCTAGTTACACGTTTCTGTGTTCAAGTGAAGGTTATATTGAAGGATTGACATACAGATAAAAGGAAACAAATAGCACTTTATTTTCACAAAGGCCTTTTTTTAGGATAATTGGCTGCACTAAATATTGCTACAGAGAAGGCATTAGTATTTTGTTAAAGGAATGATGTTTGGATCATCCCAAGGAAAACCTTTTTTTAAGGAAATACTCTGAGGGTCGTTTGTTTGGGGGTTCTTGTTGATTTGTTTTATTTTTTTCCATCTTCAAGTATTCTTTTCTTAGAATTTGCTTTACCTCAAGGGCCAACAACGAAACAAAGAAATTCTGTAATGTTTTTTGGAACAAACGTTGAACGAGTCCAAATCTCAGTGCTGTAAGCAGACTGCTGCGCCCTCCTGCTCTCCGGTAGGAGTTTGGTGGGATTTTTGGATGACTGCCTGACCAGTTGTCTGCTTGTGGCAGTGTTTTGACCAAATAACCTGATGGGAATTTCTAGTACTGTGCTATAGCAAATCGTTATCTTATTGTGGGGAGGAGGAAGTGAAATATTTCAGGGTACTTCAAAATTATTTAGCACTGATTCATGGTACAATGGCAGTCTTAGGCTATGGATTCTGGTGTACTCTAAACAGAAACATTAGCCAGATGATTCCGATTTCTTGCCTGGTTACGTCCCAGTCACTGGACTAACCCGGCGAGTTGTAATGCAGCCAGCTCTGCAAGTGTCCGTAGCTCTTGGTGCAGGGACCTGGTGTACGGGAACCTGATGTGTCCCAGGGTGTCAGCAAATTCAGAATTTCAAATCCTTGCTTTATTGGTCACCTGCTCAACTATTTGATGTATTAAGACCCAAAATGTGTTGCCAAATTGCTGGTGCTCTGGAAGCTGAGCGTGTGCCTTATTATTCACTGTACTGTGTCCTAGGTGAGCAGTCTGAAATGAATTATAAATGACCAAGTGTAACTTCGCAGAAGCTTTAGGATAACTTGAAGTTACTAATATAGTCCTTCTCTCCCTGATGTACACAGAGATACCGGTGTGCTTTATTCACAGTTCTACGCATCAGAGCACAAAACAAACATTTTCAAAATCTATGAAGCTTTATAAGAATCTATTTTTCTAAACGGAAACACTCCCTAGGCAGATGTTTGCCTACTTCTGTCTATTTTTTTAACTGCTCTTGCAGTCTTATTTTCAGGTAATTATAGCCTAGGTCACACCCGCAAGTTGGGTTATTTTTATATATGAAGCACTGTGCTTCTTTCTACAAATACAAATAGTGTATTTATAGGTAGTATTGATCAAATGTTCTTTGCACATGGTATTTAAGGCTAAGTGAGCTACCTTGGTGTTTTGATTTTTATTTTTTTTTTGGTAGTAGACCATGATACGTACGATTTTTGCACACTTGTGCTACTTGGTATTTGAAATAAGATGTGGTTCTGCAGTCGACGCCATTGCCATTAAATCTTTTGCCCAAAGAAGAACTAGATGACTGGCCCAGGGTATTGTGGCTGCCTGAACTCGTGACATAAAAACCCTTTAGCTGTTAATTCTAGCATCATAACCACTTCAGTCAGCTGTTGGTTTGTTTACATCACTGCATCTCTGTCTCTGAAAAGTGATCTTTTTTCTGAAAAGGGATGCACATTTGGTGTGTGTTTAGTATTGCTGCAATACGTGCAAATCTAATAGACTTGGTAAGGACTTTCTCACTAAAACGTAGTAATGCTGGGAAAAGACAGTTGCATCAGGAAATGCATGACAAGGAGAGATGGTGGAGAATACAAATAGTTTAGAAAATGAAAGTTGAGCTGAGGGGTGAGTGAGAATGATGGTAAGCTCTCAGTGAAGACACACTGCAAACACGCCAAAGAACACGGGGGTAAAATTGGAGGAGAGCTATTGAAAGCAAGGCGGATTTGCAGTGTAGGGAAAAGGTTTAAGTGGGTTTTGCTTTGACAGTATTTCCAAAGTGGCTGAATCCATCAGGGCTGAACAGCAAGGCAAACCTTCAGTTTACTAGCCGTGTAGGCAGACCTTCAGTGCGAGTTTTTGCTCAGCAAGGCATTTATGAGTTTGTGATGGCTGGTCATGGGAGAAAATGTATGCATTTGCTTTAACCTTAGGCTTGGGCAAGCTTTCTTGAGGAGAACGGGCTTCCTGCCAGTAAGGCAATGTGCATGCAGTTGGTGGGAGGTCTGAGAAAATCTCTTAGACTAACTCGTGGCTCTGTTGTACAACTGAGATATCAAGTGTATTTTCTTTACCTGCTATAAAGCATGCATTCATGAATACAACTGAGAAAAAAGCAGCTGATAAAAGTTGGGTTCTGTTATCGTATTCATCTTACTCCACAACAAACATGACAGCACTGGTACCTGCAGCGTGCTGGAGCTATTGTAGGGCCTGATCTGCAAGGAGGTGTACAGAGAACTCGACCTACGTGAGTAATCCTGTGGGCCTTTTGCCTTCTCCCTCTGCTCCCAACCCATCGATACTGTACACAGAACAAGGTTATGAATACGTATTTGTTAAGGTCATAACTGTTATAATGTATCATAGATTCAGCATGGTTGCCTCTGTGTGGTAAGCTGAAACACAAACACAGAAGAAAGGGCGTGTTATTTAGTACTAATGTGGGTTCTTGGTTCTCGTTATCTGCAACCTAATTTTGCAAAGACTCTCTGCAAATGAAGTTGTTTTTATTGAACGTTGATTGGGAAGAAGAATCACACCTGCAAGAGAATTAAGTTTATTTACAGTACCAAAATGCATATATATGGCTTAATTTTGTATTGAAAAATGCTGTGTATTTCTCAAAGACATCATTATTTCGTATCTGACTAAATAGCTCAAAACCATTCCTCTTTTAATTTTGAATTTCTGCAGAGTAATGTAAATTTTAAGTGTCTGTTTGCAATGGACATTCTTGGTACAACTATTTTTTGCTGGTTAATAATCAGACCAAAGATGAAACTAAGGTGTTCAGCTGCTATTGTTTTAAAAAAAAAAAAAAAAGTTTATAGGCTCAAAGTGTCAGCCCATTTTAATGAAATGTTTATAAATTCATTTCCTATTTAATATCAAAATACATTTGCACTTTTATTGTTTCCATAAAAAGTTGGTGGTTTTGTTTTAATGTTTCACTGTAGTAATAAACAGCTGTTTTAAAGCATCTATGCCTCAAGATTCAAATTCCTTATTATCTTTTTTCAGTAAAAGCTACCTGCAGCCACAAAACTGTGATCAGCAGGTTTATGTGCTCTTTAGGAGGAGACTACTAAAGTGGCAAAGCCATGGGAAAGCAGGAAGTCCACGCCTTGGGAGTTGTGCAGAGGGATACGGGAGGAGAGCCAGGAGAGAGATGAGAGCACGGCTGGCACCATCTGTGGAGTTGCTGACTTTTGAAATGGAGCACGTTGGGGTTTGTGGCCGTCTTGCTCAGAGGTTAAGAAGGATTCAGTTCTTGTTTCCCTGGCTCCAGTTTCAGGTCACTGCATAAAATCTGCTTTTTCTGGTGCTTAATGAAGAGCTAGGACTTCATCTTCATTTCACAGTATCTGTTGTGAGCTTTTCAGCATGGCACGTACAGACACGTCTCTGTTCCAAACTGTGTAGGTCGCACTTTATTAAATATGGAAAAAGTCCTGCTGAAGCCAGCAGGAGTTTTGTGGATGGGCCAGCAAGTTACCTGTCCTTTATTAGTCTTTGGTAAGATGCCAGAACTATACACTTGTGGCTTGTGCTGATGTTCCCTATTAAAGAATGAAATAACAGCAAGACCCCTAGCTTTTTAATCATTAAATCACAGCTAGGCTGAAAATAACTGTCTCCAGGTCTTTTTGTGCCTGCCTCTTACCTTGCAGGGAGTAGCTTCTGTAAGAGGGGCAGCAGTCATTGGTACAGTGCTGAGGCAGCGCAGCTGGCTAACGGACTTCGTGCTGGCAAAGACTGGAAGCATGTCATTCCTTTAGTGTCGACACCCAGTCACACAAGTCAATGCGGAGGAAGTGTATTTAGATCTTTACCTCTTTAATAACATTGTCTCTTATTAATGGCTTCCTTTAAAAGCGATAACCATCCTCTGGTCTCTGTTCGTTCCTTGCTCTGAAATATTTCTCTGTTTGAAGCCTGAGTTTCTATTCAGCAGAAAATCATTAAAGAAACATAGGAGTTTTCTTTTGCGATAAATCGGTTAACAAAAAATTAACTGGCCTAAGGACTTGCACGCTTTGTGTTTAAAGAAAATGCTGTTTGCATCCAACTCATTGGATAATTGTTTAAAACCTTTCCATCCCTGTGCAGATACCTTCCTTGTAATGCAGCCAAGGTCAGTAGTGAATTGC